TGAGCCTTGGGCAGGAAGTCCTCACCACACCCGCAGGTGGCTGGGGTGGCCGGAACGGTTTCGAGGAGTCCCCCCTTCGCCCTGGAACTCAGGGTCTGTCTCTTTGGATCTGGAGGCTTCCCTGTTGGCTGGAGATCTCTCTCTCGCTACCAAGTTCAGGGTCCACGAGGTGCCTCCGCTTGCAGGAGGCAGGGTGGCCCGCAGACCTCGGTTTACCCACCGGATGCTCAGTGGGTGCCCACCTGGGCCTGCTGGGGGTGGGGCCAGGTGGTCTCTGAGGTTCAGGGTCAGTACAAGAAAGTTAAATGCAGGTCCTGATTTTACCGAGGCATTTCCAGATGCACTCAGGGAGAATGTGGCTGTCCTGGGCACAGTCCGGGGGGCTGGGAGCCTTTAGGGCCACTGCTCATAGTTCTGGGGAGGACGCCCCCCACCCAGTGCGAGGTGTGGTCAGAGTGGCCTGGGCCTGGTGGGCCCACGCTGTGGTCCTCCCACGACCCCACACAGAAGCAGACCTGTGCTCTGAGCTCCACTGGCTGTGAGATCATCCCCTTGTGCCTGCCACTCTGGCCTCGAGCAAGTCCCTGCCGCCCCAGGGGCCAGGTTCTGGAAGCCGTCCCCACTGGGCTGGGGTGCTCCCTGAGTTTCAGTTCTGTGTAATTCCAGAGCTGGCTCTGCCTGGGAAAGGGGGGCATTAGGGTGGACAAAGCTAGGAGGTTCTACACGGAGGACCTCTGTGGGCCCTGAGAGGCTGGGGAGCAGAGCCCTGCACAAGGCGGGGGCCTCCTTGGCCCCTGGGAACCCCTCAGGGAGGCACTTGCCCAGCCGGGCAGTTGAGTCTGGCCCCCCTCATCCTGGCCCAGGGCTCAGGTCCCTGTAGGGGGGCTGGTGCACCCAGGGTGATCTCTAACATGGGCCTGAATGGGTACGGGGTGTGTGTGGGGCTGTGGCCACCTCAACCCACGCTGTCCCACCGGGGGCTCTGGTGCTGAGAGCCTAGAGAACACGTAGGGTCACGAAGAGGCCTCAGGGAAGGCCCTCACTGCATTGTATTCTGCTCAGTGGCGCTGGACTGGCAAGTCTGGGGGGCAGCGCGCTGCAGGGCCCCAGCCAGGATGAGCTTCCGGCAAGAGCCCCCTGGTCCTGGGTTGGGCAGGGCGGGAGGTTAAACTCGGGTGTGGGCTGGCACTGCGGTAACTGGGCTGCTGCATCCTGAGGCACTCACACGTACCCGGGGGCAATAAA